TCTGAGTCCAGGCTTGAGATGCAGAGGGAGGACGCCAGGTGGCACATGGGCTATGGCTGTACCGGAAGTTGGTGCTAGCCAGAAACAGGTTGTGGTCTGTGCATAATTGCAGTAGACGGTCCCCGTTATCTGTCCTGCCACCAACAAGTCCCCATCGGCCACCTAAACGACTCTCTTCTGTGTCTAGACGCCCGACCTGAGCATTCAAGTCTCCGGCTAGTACTACAATATCTGTCGAACAGTTGACTGGTGGTAGAATTCATCCTTGATTGCATCCGGGCTGCAATCTGTGGAGGCATAGGCGGCGATGAGAAAAAGACATCGTTTCTCACGCCGATTTCTTCTCACTTTGATGGAACTTTATAATCTAACAGCAAATAACCGACTGTTAACGGGGATCCAATCGATTAGTGCTGCCTCAGCTCTAGCGCTTAGTGAGACACCAACGCCAGCAAGACCAGACGAAGATGCCACAGGGTCCCCGGATAAATGCACGTAAAACAAGCTTTTCGAAGCGACAGATGGAGATCGAATTTGTAGTACTTCACCAGAGTCTTGAATACGGGTCTCGGATAGACAACAAACATCAATATTAAGACTTTCCAAAGACATAACTAGCCCTATCTGTTGTCCGACCTGCATAAATGTGCGAACGTTGAAGGCAGCCAGTTTGGATGGTGCACGTGGTTTCAGAAATCCTGCTCCAGTATTCGTATTAGGTGGCAACATACAATTTTCAACCGGACAGTGACTCGAGAACGTTTAGATAGAGTCGAATTTCCAATATAGACGAGCTGCTTTATAAGTCCAAAAATTGCGTATAGACAGTAGAAATAATAGAGGGTGAATAATGATATAGTAAATCATAATAATAATAGTAGCAATAATAATAGCAATAATAATATTTGAATCATTTGAATGTTCGTCGAAGCAAGAGAATTAGTTTCCATGATCATAGACAGTCCTGTTCGTTAATTGTGTGTGATACCCCTCGGGTGCCCAAACCGAAGCAGGTGGTTTTCTTAGGGAGCCACACCCCAAGCCTTTGACCCAATGGTCTAACCCACAAGGCAGTGGAGCATCGTAAGGAGATGCAGTCCCATGGTAGCCGGTGACCGAAAATTGGTTCATACGCCACTTGTTCCCTCAGGATACTGGAGCCCATGTGCACCATTGGTTTGGGATCTGGGTAAAGCTCCGGATATTCGCTTTTCGTCCTCTCATTTTCGTAAACAACACCCCCGCCACGAGAAGGCAGTGAGTAGACTTCCCTGGCAGAGGCTTTATACGCGTGGCCTTGTGAGAGTATTTCGAGAGGGGGGCGAACCCACTCCGCTCTTGGCCATACCAGGGCATTTGGGGGGAAATAGACAAGAAAAGCGCTCATCCGGTTGATATGTATTTAGTAGACTTGTAGTGGCAGTGGATTCTAACCACACAACCCTCAAAGCTGATCATGAGATAACTGGGAAAATAGATATTCAACATGTAACACCAAGAGAACATCAATAATAGTGAATGCAGGAATATTAATTCAACTGAATGGCATGGCTCAGCCTTGTAGGCGTGGTTCCGTTTTTCCCATCAAGTAGTCATTAAGTGGAACGCCTTACCTGAACAAGTGTTATCAGCACTATTAGTGAATATTCTCCAGAAGAAGCCGAACCTCCACTGGAAAACGAGCTGCGAGGATTAACACAGGTTTTCAAACCTACTATCCTTATTACTGAGGATTGAAGACTTTTATTGTTAATATCTTGTTTCACCTTTCTGTTGCAGGAGAAATGTCACATAGGTCATATAGGTGGGCTACCTGTCCATTCACATAAGGTTCATACAGAAAAACAGGACGAAGCTCATGCGTTCCAAATTGAAAGCATAAACTGCTTATATACGAACGCCGCGAGTTTACCAAACAAACTGGATGAACTACGTGAACTTAGCAACGCTAGCAAGGCCCATCTGATAGGAATATCTGAAACCTGGATATCTTCTCAGTTCTCGGATCAAGAGTTAGCATTACCTGGGATGACTTTGTTCCGCAACGACAGAAAAATAGGAATTGGGGGCGGAGTAGCCATATACATTAGCTCTTGCTTGGAGGTGCACCAGGTTCACAACCTCGAGTTTAACAATCTTGAGGAATCCATATGGTGCTCTGTAAGGTTGTCTAGTACTTCCAGGTGTCTAGTCGGAGTCATTTACAGGAAGCCAACTGCCGACACCGAGTACGATAGTCGTATGCTGGAAGGACTATCCCGCTCTATCCGTCTCGGTTTCACACACATCCTGATTCTAGGGGACTTTAATCTCCCTAGAGTCAACTTCGCGGAACACACGTACACTGGAGGCGACAACTCAACTGAAGCTCGGTTCTTCAACCTCATCGATAACTTGGGCTTATATGAAAATGTGAGGTCGGCAACTCGTTGGAGAAACAGTCAGACACCATCGCGCTTAGACTGTGTATTCACTAACGAAGAATTCCTAGTCGACAACCTCTCAATCCTGGCTCCTCTGGGAAAAAGCGATCATGCCGTCATAGCCTTCAGTTTTGTCATCAAAACTAAGCTAAGGTATCCCAACAATAATTTGCGATGGAATTTTAAACGGCTGAATGTGCGAGCTCTACATGACCATCTACAACAGGTGGCTTGGGATGTTCACCCTCAAATCTATGTGGATGGTCATTGGGACTTCTTGCTGCACACGCTCTTACGTGCTACAGACCATTCAGTTCCTCAAACGGTTCCCAAAAGCTTCAAGCCACCTACAGTAATCAAGAACCGTACCCTTCGCCTCCTAAGCCGCAAACGGCACTGTTGGGCGGAATACAAACGAACTAATGACGATGGAGCGTATAGGCAATACAAACATATCAGGAACACATGCACGAAGGCTATAAGAGAAGACAGGCTTCAGTACCAAACAAAGCTTATGGACAAATTCGCCTTTAACCCTAGAAGCCTATTCCGTTATGCAGCCTCTCTTCGTCAAGCCAAAACAGGAGTTTCTCAACTGCTAGGACCTAACGGCCCGACCAACAACGATGGCGACGCCGCCAACCTTCTGGCGGCCCATTACTCTCAAACATTTCAACCGGCTGATATCAACTTTATCGACGACAGTTTCATCTGCAATTCCACAGGACTTTCTGAAGTGGACCTAAGCGCTGACTTGGTGTTCCGGAAACTGCAGCACTTAAGACTTGACACTTCTCCTGGCCCGGATATGGTTCATCCTGCCATACTGAGGGAGGCAGCCTCAATCCTGGCAACGCCGCTTAGCGTGATGTTTTCACACTCGCTTAGCCGAGGCAAACTACCGGAAAATTGGAAGTTGGCCCACATCACACCAATTTTCAAAGGTGGTCGACGCAATGAACCTTCAAGTTACCGGCCGGTAGCTCTTCTGTCGTTACCTTCAAAACTCATGGAGTCCCTGATATGCGACGGTCTAAATGACTACCTACTGTCCTTAAATTTCTTCTCACCCCAACAGCACGGTTTCAGGAAGGGTTACTCTTGTATAACCAACCTGCTGACTGCGGTGGACAGATGGACAAGCATCCTCGATCGCAAGGGAAAGGTTGATGTCATTTACCTTGATTTCTCAAAAGCTTTTGATAAGGTTAACCACTTGTGTCTTATCAACAAGCTCAAACGACTAGGTATCAAACCACCTCTAATCGACTGGCTTACTTCATACCTAAAAAATCGACACTTTAAGGTTAGGGTTAATTTCACTTTATCTCAAGCTATGTAATGTCCTAGTGGGGTCCCCCAGGGCTCAGTACTAGGGCCTCTTCTCTTCTTGATCTACATAAATGATCTTCCTCAACAGGTAACGTCAGACTTACTACTTTTTGCAGACGACGTGAAACTTTGGAGAGAGATACGCAACCAAGACGATATACAGGCACTTCAAGAGGATCTGACTCGACTTCAAAGTTGGGCAGACGATAACGGACTTACCTTTAACACTTCAAAGTGTAAAGTAGTCCATCTGCGACATGTCGCAAACTACAGTTACAACTTAGGAAACTCCTCTCTAGTAGTATCCCAAGTCGAAAAAGATTTAGGAGTCCTGGTGCCCCATGACTTAAAGTCTTACGCTAACTGTGACAAAAATGCCTTCCGAGCAAACCTTGCACTGGTAACGTTGAGGCGCATTTTTGGCCAGTTTGACGGAAGAACTTTCCACACAATCTTCAATAGTTTCATCCGTCCCCATTTAGAGTACGGAAACATAGTACTCCCCCCCTCACTCCAAAAGGACAAGGTCACTTTGGAGCGTATCCAACGGCGAGCCACGAAATCAGTTCGAGGACTCAAATCTAAGCCTTACGAAGAACGCCTCCGTTCACTAGACCTTTACCCACTAGAATATAGGCGTCTTAGAGGTGATTTATTAATGGCTTATAGTATTCTTAACACTTCTGGACATCCTCTTAAACACCTACTTAAGCTTAGTTCGAACAATAACCTAAGGGGTAACACCCAGAAACTGGAAACACAACATAGCAAGACGGAATGTAGACACAACTTCTACTCCTTAAGAGTTGTCAAAAGCTGGAACTCGCTGCCGGCCGAGCTAGTCCAAGCGACTTCTCAGGAGTCCTTCAAGAGGCAACTTGACCTATTCTTAAGGACCAAGGACAGCATCGCACTATGATTTACCAATTTCTTTTCCTCTTTTATTGTTAACATACCTAGGTTCCTGCCTGGAGGATTTGGTGATCCCCTGCTACTAGACACGGAAGCCTGTTAAGCGAAAGCTTCTTCTATTCCGTCCACAACCATTTGAACCATTTGAACCATTCCATCGTCAGTAACTCTTTTTTGCCACTAAATTAAAGTGCCTGAAGAACATCTCCTTTTGTAATACCATTATACAATACTTGAAATTTGAGAGTTTTGCCATTGGGAATGTGTACATGCTGAAAATGTATGCGCGTTGTTATTTCCAAGGTCATTAAGGACAAAGTTCGCTTAAATGGACCATCCAGTGACACTAAACGATGTAATTCATTTCTAAATGCTGTTTACGATGGTAGATCAGGTTGATTGGGTGAAAATACATCAAGTAGAGTTCTGTTTTTACAAATAAGTGAATCTTGTTGCACTTATAAGTCGACTAATCAACCTGGATCCAGGTTCGATCTAATTAGATCAATCCTCCCTGGTTTTAATTAATTACTACACCGAATGTCAAAACCACACTTTTGAAGTTATTGTAGCTCCCTGCTTTTGTATTTTGTCAAAAGCGGAATGATAGGTGTCTGTATTCTACTTGAAATGACTAAAATTAATAGACATGTATGCTAATGCATAAATGTCTATAAATTTTATTTGTGGCTATAAGATGAATGATACATATATGCAAATCAGATTATTAGAAGCATCTGCTCCTGATGCAGATTACGATTGAAGTACATATTGCTCATTAAGCGTACTTGGTACTATTCCATGTATGGTAAGTAGTGTTTGCATGGATAAACGGTTTCCTCACTTTAACATCTACTCGCAACTTTCTTCTCGGTTCCTACCTATCGTCTGGTTTAAGCTATAAAACCAACGTTTGCAACACTAATATGTTATTTAGCTTTCTACTGTGGAGTAGTTCGAGGTGGTCTCTGTGGGGTGTCCAATACAAACGAATAGGTAACATGTATGTAACAAATTAGCATAAGTCTCAGGTTCTTGGTCTCTTGCATTTGGTCATCGTATTTGCGCCAGTTAACCCTAGTATAATATACGTTTCAGAGCATGTTATGTTGACCTTTACTTTGTTATTTAACAAATAAATAATAGGGTACTGCAAAATAATTATATCCAACATTTATGTAGTTCATCAGTTATTATAAGAATACTACATGTCTTCATTCTTCAGGACACAATATTTGTAAACATTCTATCACGACTTCTGAGAATATTTAGTGGTCTTGGGATAGCTTGTATATTCTTCGCAATTTTCTATCACTTCTATGGCTCATATTCTCCGCTGTTCATACAACATTTTCTCCTGTTTGGAAAGTCGAACCCTCAGTATTGTGAATATTTAAAGTATTCAAGAGTTCCTAAAAGGTAATTCTGTAGTAATGTGTCCTGTTTCAGTTTACTACACTTCAGAATTAGTTTTTATTGTTCCCCATTAATCATTGTCAAGTGTTTTATACAAACGTGTAGCTGTGACTCTTTTGCAAATGAATATGTTAGTATTTCTTGAATTCCCACCTTTATCCACACAAAAAATGTCAAGGTTAAGATAAATTCTTTACCTCTGTTTTTATTTTTAACATAAGATTAGTGTACAAACCTATACGTACAGACAAAAAGAATACCCTTACTACGGACTTTTTTAAGAAAAACTGATTGCTAAGATTTGACTTGATATTCTCAAATAAATTGAGAACTTGGCGTATCGTCCATGGTATTAGACATCAGAAATTTATTTTCCTACTCATTTTAATATTACAAATGTATCTTATTATCATAAGAATCTCGGTTGACCAGGATGTTAAACAGGTATTTATTGAATTGGCTTGGTAATGTATTGTACACATCAGAAAATCAGTCAGGTACAACGTAGAACCAAGCACATATATACATCGGTTCAAATTTCCATACATCATTAACACAACAAGATGAACAAATTTATAGTACTTAACACAATGGTGGTAATATATAAAAGATAGATTGCATATAAGGATATATAATGAGACAACTACTTAGTGGTACTTCCAATCGTAATTGGATTACGAATCAAATGGAGAAGAGCAACAACGTGGTCTTATCAAAAAGTGACATCATCTCATCAGTGCACGCTTACATATACACAAATTTACATACATGTAGCTTATGAATCACCTTAACCGAAATGACATGACATTGATTTATTCAGACTTGTTTTTTGATTGATTACATAACATTCTTGTTGTTCCGTTGTACTATTTAAACGGATTAACTTTTTATTTGGTTATTTATTCTCTGAATAAGTGGCTTACACTAAGTGACGAAATGTCAAAATCCAAATTTTCTATTCATTGGGATATTAGAAATATATTGTCTATTTAAAATGGAAAGAGGTTGTTGTATTCCCTCAGTCTGCCAGTATTTTTATAGAGAACCCTCAAGATTATAGCAAACTCAGACACACCCTTCAACAGACTATCCCGGAGTATACTTACTTACTTACTTACGCCTGTTACTCCCAATGGAGCATAGGCCGCCGACCAGCATTCTCCAACCCACTCTGCCCTGGGCCTTCTTTTCTAGTTCCATCCAATTCTTGTTCATTTCTCTCATGTCTATTTCCATTTCTCGGCGTAATTTGTTCTTTGGTCTTCCTCTTTTCCTTTGGCCTTGAGGATTCCATATGACGGCTTGTCTTGTGACGCTGTTGGGTGCTTTCTTCAATGTGTGTCCTATCCACTTCCACCGCTTCTTCCTCCGCTGGGATCTGGTTTGTTCTCTCCCACAGTACGTTGTTGCTAATAGTGTCCGGCCAACGGATCCGAAGTATTTTGCGTAGACAACTGTTAATAAACACCTGTATTTTCTGGATGATGGCCTTCGTAATTCTCCAGGCTTCTGCCCCATATAGTAGAACTGTCTTGACATTTGTATTGAAAATCCTGACCTTGGTGTTGGTTGACAGTTGCTTTGAGTTCCAGATGTTCTTCAGTTGTAAATATGCTGCTCTTGCTTTGCCGATCCGCGCCTTCACATCTGCATCAGATCCACCTTGTTCATCAATGATGCTGCCCTAATATGTAAAGGTTTTTACATCTTCCAATTCTTCTCTGTCAATTGTGATTGGATTGGTGCATGCTGTGTTGTATCGGAGAATCCTGCTTTTCCCTTGAGACCTATTGCAGCTGAGGCTGCTGCCACACTGTTCGTCTTCTCCTGCATCTGTTGTTGCGTTTGGGATAGAAGGGCCAGATCGTCTGCGAAGTCTAGATCATCCAACTGCATCTTAGATGTCCATTGTATCCCGCGCTTCCCTTCAGACGTCGACGTCTTCATGATCCAGTCGATCACCAGGAGAAAGGGTGAGAGTAAGCAACCTTGCCTAACACCGGTCTTTATTTCGAAAGACTTTGTCAACTGTCCTCCATGCACGATTTTGCAGTGTAATCCATCATATGAATTCTGTATGATATTGACTATCTTCTGAGGCACGCCGTAGCGTCGAAGAAGCTTCCATAGTGTTGTTCTGTCCACGCTATCAAATGCTTTCTCATAGTCAATAAAGTTGATGTAGAGTTATGAATTCCATTCAATTGATTGTTCCACAATGATCCGTAGAGTTGCGATTTGGTCTGTACACGATCTATCCTTACGGAATCCTGCCTGTTGGTCACGAAGTTGGGCGTCTACGCAGTCCTTCATCCTGTTTAACAATACCCTGTTGAAGACTTTTCCCGGTATTGAGAGAAGAGTGATGCCCCTGTAGTTATCACAGTTGCTGAGATCGCCTTTCTTCGGTATTTTGATCAGAAGTCCTTCTTTCCAGTCTGTTGGTACTTGTTCCTCATCCCAAATCTTATTGAAAAGAGTGTGGAGTATCCTTGCAGCTGTCGCTACGTCTGCCTTTAGTGCCTCTGCTGGGATGTTGTCCGGTCCTGCTGCTTTGTCACTCTTGATTTGTCTGATGGCCATGCTGATTTCTTCAATTGTTGGTGGGCCAACATTGATTGGGAGGTCCGTGGGTGCTGCTTCGATGTTGAGTGGGTTCAGTGGGGCTGGTCGATTCAAGAGTTCTTTGAAGTGTTCTACCCACCTGTTTTGTTGCTCTTCAATGTTGGTGATTACCTTGCCTTCCTTGCTTTTCACTGGTCGTTCTGGTTTGCGGCGATTTCCAGAGAGTTTCTTTGTCGTGTCATACAATTGTCTCATGTTTCCTTCTATTGCAGCCTTTTCCGCCGTCGTTGCTAAATCTTCCACATATTCACGTTTTTCGGCTCTAATGCTCCTCTTCACTTGTTTGTTTACTTCTGTGTATTCAGCTTGTGCTTTGGCTTTTTCTGCTCTTGTTCGGCTGGTATTGATTACTGCCTTCTTGTTCCTCTGGAGTATAGTTCTGTCCAAAGAATCGAAGGTAGCCATGATATCAAGAAACAGCGATGGTTCGCCTGCAGTAAGTAAGGCGGTACTACGAAATTTTGTGTGTGTGGGGGGAGTAAATATATGATCGATACACTCACGACGAGAACGAAAATCAGTCTGGCTTTGGATGTTTTGAAGTATGACCGAGGCTAATATTTCAAACACTATCGGAAGTAGTCTTACCCCCCATTAATTGAGTCCGACGACTGTCTTCTTATTCCAAGATGTTAGAGCACTCTATTCCCCTGACCTTTCCTAACAACGTAGTCAGTTCCTTAGCCAAATGTTCTCTATCCTCCGCAGAAAAAACTAAGTTTAAGTTTTCTGGGGCTTCAGGAGTTTAAGTTCCTGGCGAACTTCCGCGTCGTTATGTGATCAGTCATGACCGGCCGAACTGCTTTTCGTAGAACTCCGTCCATTCTTCAAGATATCACTGAATATATTTTATTGGCATTACATAAGCTTCATACATTACCTCACTAACATCAGACTTCTTGATTGCAGAATTTTTTAACGTAAGAATCTGTGTTTATTGTTAAATTCGCGGTTAGCACGAGTAGACCAACGTGTCTCAATGTGTGAACCACCCAGTTAGCAATGCTGAGGCTAAATGAAGGGTATCAGTTAAGGTTGTTAAATCGATACGTGCGATAATGAATCTTTATTGACTGGGTAATATGGAAATGTATTACGTATGCTCATCCACCGACTATCTGGACACCCAATTTTTGCTGATGTAGGAATAGGTTGGAAAGAAGCTATATGCTCCCGAATCAAACGTTCCATCAGCTCGTCAAGTCATTCACTAATAAACGGAGTTGTGCAGCTAAATTCAAATTACGTGGTTGGTTTCTACACGACTCGTAATAGTCCGAAATGGTAGGAATATATCCACTCTTTGTCTTTGCTTAGATCCCAAGTTTTGTATATTATCTTACAATCTTTTTTCATCCTGAAGACTTCTTGAATTATATTTTTTTCCTTTTCTGGTGCTACTCCTACTACTCTAGCGTCTCGCTGTACTGAGATAGTGTGGCAGCGTGGACAAATGCACATTTATACCAGGTTGTATGTCGCATACGAATGACTGACTGAGGTCTAGTGTTGTTTAAATAAGTAATCCTGAGTTGGACCTTCAAATGGTGATATTCATTTTTTCTTAATTCGCTGTTTTAGAGAGTTATAGCATCCCAACAGTTTTTCTTTATCATTTAGTATTCATGAAGATGGCTACCTCAAAGATTGTTTTCGTTGTAGGATAAAATCACACGAATCTGTTAAGTAATTCATTTTCGTGGTAACTTGTGACCTGTGGGATGTTCAGACTGAAAACTTCGTATTTTGGTATAGTCGCGTTTCGTTCACGTGCACTAATTCTAAATTCATTAGTTAATATTTCGTAACATTAATCAGTTCATGATATACCATTATTACTATCTGTTATCTTTACTTGCTGATATTAAGTTAAATAGTTTGTCAAGATTTCATGACATCCATTTCAAAGCCACATTTATGTAAATTATGGATTTCCATTTTTTTTTACCAAGTATTCTACTTAAAGATGTTTTATCAAAAACTGGCATTGTTTTCGGGATTGTTTGCATTCGTACAGCTGTTAGTATCTTTCTCACTTCGTTTGTCAATTTAGTTAATCATCAGGTATTCATTAACAAACTAAAATTGTTTCATATTTTTACACGTAATCATTTCTTTTTCTCAAATTTCTCCGGTCAATAAATTAACTATATGCGTATTTATAAGTAATTTTATCAAATCTTTCTTTACAGATGGTTTAAATATTTTTACATGATTGGTATATTCTCTACATTATGTATCCTACTGGTTGAATTATTTATGCTATGTAAGTGGATTTAACATTGTTTCTCATACCCTTATATTTTGTCACTGTTGCAGCATACTTGTTACCCAATCCTTGTATTGTATACCACAATTATTTTGTAGTTGAATTCATGAGTCGATGTAGGCTAGACTACCATTGAAAACCTGGAAGCACTGTACTGCCGTTTCGTCCTACTATGGGACTCCTCGGAAGCGCTCATACACAACCCTGCACTTACTACTCGAACCCAGGACCTACGTTTTTGCGCGTGAACGCTTAACCACTAACGCACTGAGCCGGCATTCAACAGTGTAAATGCCTAACTTTAGTCGACCCATGAATGGTTGCACAACCATTTATCCATTGTCTGAGGTAGATACCTGTCATTAACACCGCTGAATACTGGCTCCGTGGTTAAGCGTTCACGCGCGAGACCGAAGGTCCTGGGTTCGAGTAGTAAGTGTGGGATCGTGGATGCGCACTGCGGAGTCCCATACTAGGACGAAACGGCAGTCCAATGCTTCCAGGTTTTCAATGGTGTTCTAGCTTACATGACTTATGAATTCAACATTTAAAATCACTACAGTCTTCACAAACCTCATTCTGATTATAATTATTTTGTAAGCATGCAACCAAATGAAGTTTTTCATGTTGTTGAACTGACTACTCTGATTTTAGGTACCATAAATGGATAGTAAAGCACAGTATTATTACGAAATTTATCTACTTGCTGTAAACTTTGCTATTTACTTTTTGTCATTATACAATAACTTTTTCTATTATTATGTAGCAAGAGGTTTAATTAATGAATAAATATTAAACTGTTTTAGTTCTAATTATTAAAAATGCAATTCCTTTAATGTATCCTGTTCAATTTTAATCTACTCATGTCTCATTACGTTTGAATGACTAAACATAAAAATTAGTTTGGTTAAAATATTAAATATGCATACTTTAATTATTGAATCCGGGAGGATGAAAATATTAATTTATGCAATTAGTTCCCTTTATGAACTTAAATAAAGCCAGAACAAATATTTATGCATCAATGTTTGTTCTGGCCTTATTTAAAATAATAATTACTTGAGTATGATTTTCGTTCAGTTTACTCTCATTGTATTAATAAATTCAATCTGATTCTTGGTCCTTGTTTAGTTTGGCAAAGTCTGTAACTAATTACCACAAAATATGTTTGATGAATAACTGAATAAACTCGAATGTAAATCAATCTTCTTTGTTCCGTACGTTATAAATCTTCCTTTCGTTTAGCTGGAGCTTGGAGGGCATAGAGCTAATGTAATTACGAGTTATCGCCAATATCACAAATATATCAGGTTTGTTAAGCAATGTAGTTAATTTAGAAATCGTTTTTGTCGTAAATTGATTTCAATTGAGAAATAATTTAAAACCAGGATCCATTGGAAATCTGTTTCGTTCTATTTCATAACTCTCCATTTTTGTGCGCTCTCAACACTTAAAATCGTATCTTTAAAGCAATAAACCTGAATCAAGCTCACGGTTGCAGCTGCAATCATTTTGAGTTATAGTACCAATCCCATCTACAAATTACTGTCTCACCCTTGACTTGTTTAACTCTACCAGTTATAGTTCCTTATTTGAACTTCGAAAAACTCTTTTCAGATCCGATCAATAGTATGGACATAATTATTCATTCAGGTTGCTTTCTATTTTAAATCTTTCTGAATTTATATAACTTCGAAAATCTTTTTTCTAGCTTCAGTACTAAACAAAACCATAATTTCTGTTTTAATCATATATCTGGTACATGTTTCACGTCGACTGTATGAGTGTGCATACGTTTCCGTATTCAGTAATTCTCAAATGAGTTTCATGCACTTTTTGATGGGTATTGGATTCTATATTGTCGCTCCTAGTTCAATTTTGCTTTCTCAAAGTAATGCAGGTAATTAAAACTCATTATTTTGTAAACTTTGTATGATTAACTATGTATTATCAATTTTTTATCTCTAGTTAACTATTTTATTATCCTTTATTGCTGTTCAGTAGATTCCAGTTATTCGTACGCAATATTTCGTTTTCTTTCTGCTTGTACTTTTTTGTTGTACAGTAATGTACCGTGTAATAATATACGAATTTTATAAGAATCTAGTTGGTTTTGGCAGTTACCAGATAGTAGTTAGTAGGCTTTAAATATAAAGACTATTTAGTGGCTAGCCTAATTAACTTTTAATTATTCGGTCAGAGATTCGAACCACGTTTCATCTATTTCTATATGAACTGCCAATATATATCACTAATCGTGAGACAGAAAGTGCTACTGAAAACCGAGTACGTTTATCACAATCTGGTTAATGAGCTACACCAACTTATTTAATAAAGTTAATAAATGTTATATTGATTCCAAAGATATCCCGATTATCCTTTTTTATCTGTAATTATTGTGTAGTTAAATAGTAGATTCTTATAAACAGTGAAATCGATCATATTCACCACTGTTTTTATTGCTTAATATTGTTATTCGTGCTTCATCAGAAGTTCGATTCTCGAGATTTTATTATTTGAGTTTTGTAACTGTACTATGATAGTTGGATACTGTTATAACTTATGAACTATGTGCCCTGTTTATTATATAACGTAACGATACCGCCAATTAGAGAGCAGTGAATTTATCGATCGGACCAGCGACGCATAAAACCTGTACCAGCAGTCTAGAGTTCTTATTGGCCCTGCTTTCCGCCTAGCCCAGGCAGTCAAGTCCAGAACACCAATCTCGGCCTATGCGATATGAATAACTTATTTCAAACATACTGGGTTTATATACTGATCAGACAGACCACATCATACCATAAAATATGAAACAACATTTGTACAAGAATTAGCCAAATGTGGCTGTGAATGAGAGAGGTAGTAATTAACAAACGGCATAATTCAAGGATGGTAGATCGTATAATAATAGCTCAAAGGTCAAAATAAAGCTCATAATAAGAGGGACATGAATATGCAAAGTTTAGTTACTTAACAATTATACGATAAAAATATACGCATATTATTGGTCCATAAATGGATCCCAAAAGTTACCAATTAATTAGTTTATACTACATGATACTCCAACGTTCAGTTACCACATAAAACAACATATAGCAGATATCAGGATGGGTATGTTTAATGTAATTCATTGTAAAAGTAGTGGAGTTAATCTGCAATAGAAATAATCAATGTATTAAGTCTAATTGTATGTCTTTCAGCAAGCTTTTATTCCTAGGGAGCATGAATTTTCACAATAGTCGTATCAACATAAAAACCTCTTGAAACAAGAATTTTATATAGTACAAAACTTGTTTTCGACAAAGATTCAACTAACTGTAAACATGTTGCCCAGAACTGGTTCTTAAAACATATTGAAAAGCTCCGGTCGCGCCACCTCTTTTTTGGTAGGGTGAAGTTCAAACTTCATAGAGGGTTGCTAATCTTTAAGTGGGTCAAGATGTCAGTATCATAGGCACTTAATGTCTAATCTTGACAATTTATCACGCTGTATAAATTAATGTGTTCAGATTATAAAATTAGAATATATATATCGTCCTGTCGCTATGTGACATTTTCATTTAGGTTAGAGCAAAAATTGGAATTTGCATTTTATCATTATCTCCCATCGTCTGAGTCTGTTGCCATATTGATACCTGAATTAAGTACTTTAGTGGAAGGACCAAAATTAGTTAGAAAGCTTCCATTCGGTAACTGGGTTGGAAGTATATGTTCACCTCACTCTTAAATATGTCCTTTTCCCTTAGAAAATAAGGCCAGATTTTCAAACAGTAGCATATCTCCATTTTCTCAGAGTCAATTTGTAATCCTAATCGATAGTGTGTGCTCATCATCATCTTCCACTTATCATACCCTATGTCTGTCAAATTTGTTCGATGTGTCACGTTCAGTATATCTTCTTGGAGCGTCTCCCAAACTTGAGTAGGTGTTTTTGCATGTTTGTGGAGTTTCAAATTAATAGTTTACATATTCAAATTTTAACCGTCTCGTTTTTGGTTGTGAATTCTGTTAACCCCCCACATATTTCTTTATAGTTCACCAGATTTTACGTAGAGCATCCATACAGTGAATGTCGCTCAGCTCTAGTATAATCTTTATCTGTAGATTCACTATAACATTTTATTTATGTACCTTCATTAATTTGATAATTTAACAATAACTTATCTTTCAGCTGAACGATCATATTTGACTATTGGCTTATTTAGTGTACACATGTTAATACTCCAGTATTTGCAAGATTTGGTTTTCCGACAGTTAGCTGCCTTACGTTCAGGGAAAAATAAAAACACAGGTAATTTTCACTTAATACATTTTTCATTTAATATACTATTTATGTACCCGTGATCTCACTATGTTCAGATTTCTGTTCGGATGATTGAATTTCGTGAGCATTCGACATTGATTGCCTATTGCTAGTGCACGTTGCCGACGGGTGTTAATCAGTAAAATATTTGGGTTTATAAGGAGTTCCTGTCAATTACCTCCAACCACACAAACAATAGGCTTGTTTAGCGTTTTAGCATTATCTTATGTGTAGATAAGTCTGAGAAAAGCAACTACAAATTTGACCACATCTTCCCATCATTTCGAAGCTTTTAGTTTAATTAGCTACTGCAGCCTGTCTCTGTCCTTTCGAAGAGGTTTTCAGTCGATAATCTAAATTATTTTACATTGTTACACCGAGTATCTTGCGTCAAAAACTTTCATTTCTCAGCAGTCAGTTACAGACTAAAAATTTTTCTATCTATCACTCATTTACGAGAAGTGTACTTAAGCTTCAAAGCTAGTCTTGTTTCCTCTTAGTTTCAAATATATAACGCTGTCAAAACTGTTATTTTATCTGTGCGAGTGACAGTCAGTGAGTACAGCTGTATTCACAGTCTAAATTAACTTAATTCTACCACAGATTTGTTCCTATAACTTCACTCGTTAGTAACAAATTTCTGATAGATCGTGTTATTTCCTTGTTCCATATTTGATGTCACTAAAAATATTAGCAAATAACTCAAACACAGTAGTTATTATTTTGAATATATTCGATTCTTTATCGAAATCGAATCTTGTAGAGAGTTTTGTGTGAATTTTATAATGAACTGCATTCACCATTAATTGTGATGAATAAATTAATAAGTAGTCTAATCGAGATTTATTGATCATTTAAATGGATTTGTTACATTATTGCAATAAGTAACGATATTTCAACACAAAATAAATAAATCTTGAAATAATAATCGGAGTAACTTCAAGGTGGCCCAAGGTTTTTTTGTAAAATAATTACTTCAGTTCACTTACTGCCGTTTAAAACTAATATTTTATTTATTGTATGTTCATTCTTTTGGTAGCTAAAAATGCACTTTATTACTTATCGAACAGTAAGTGTAGGATTTAATTTGTCCTACAGATATACTACTAGAACTGTGAACGCGATACTGGCGATCCCAGAGTCTATGTGGAAGTTATGGTCAGAACAAGGACAACTTGGCTTTAAACTTTATCTGTCTCTACACGTAAAAAAACAATCCGATTAGTACAATAATTAAAGGAATTATATTCATTAAGTGGAACGTAAAAGTATACCGACCAGTATTGCTTGTCTTATGGAAATGAATAAAAATTATGGATCACACTAATAGGATAATAATGTACTTCAATTGGCAAGTCACATGCAACAGGGTTAGTCTACAGACCATATTGACGTGGTGGGCTCTTAAACCACGATTTCCTTGATTAGTTATGGACCCTAAAGTAATAACATCCCAAATTTATCATCTAATACAATATAACAGCCAACTACAGATTATTAGTTCACTCTATTTTGCATTATATTTCTGAGATGGAAGATAAAAATCAACTTGTTGCACAAACCGAAGTGGGTAGCCCAATGTTCAGATTTCAAGACTCATGAGTTCAATATTTAGTAACACTACGAACATTAAATAATATTAAATTAGACTCTCTTAAAAAATAAGCCCACTGAATGTTTGGTATTTACACTGCAGTATTATATTTCTAGTGTTCAGAATGTTCAAATTCCTAAAAATGTATTTCTTGTTAACTATTAAACTTAGTGTTTTTATCACCGAGCCTCTCTGTTATTGCTTTGTTTTTTCACATGAAGACACTTATCAGCTTGTAATTGTGTTAATACGGTAGATTGTTATCCTATTTTTAAGAATGCAAATACATTTCTATGCAATAACTTTACAAACACCTGGTTTTCTCTAATGGAAACAAATTCTGTCATTTAAGATTAATTCCCTTTGAATTAATTAAACGTCGATAAGGCTGAGACATAGTTGTTTTTTCTTTCATTATTTGCTTTCGTTAGTCTGATGAATATTCACTCAAATTATCAAATAATATCATACCTATGCTTTAAAGAATGCATTTATTTATTGTTATGCATGAACGTGATGAAGTTCTCTTCATTTTGAAGTGGTGAATTGGCATGCACAGTTTGCACTTTCACTGTGTTCAACTCATCTTTACCGTTCCGTGAGCTCGGTCTTTTCAGTTGCGATTGAATGTTTGCTATGAACTCCGTAGCTCCCTCATACATACCTCCCACGTAATCGAAATCCTTCGATCTCTTACTTTACATTCATTGACTATTAGTCAATTAACTGTGTTACAAAATGCAGTGAATATCATTTTAAATTAATAGCAACAACATTTCTTCAACACATCGTAATTAAATTAAAGAGTGTTTAAAGCTGTTATTCTTCACACTTCAGAAGTTGATAATGAATAGATTTTCACATTCTTGAATTAATCTAAGCAGCTTTTGAACAGATTAATTCACGTAGACTAGCCCTGAAGTTAAGCAGGTCAAGTTAAAAGATTAAGGAATTTTCGGATTATCAAGTTGTTTATAAATGTTAGTTGACTTCTTAGTTGTACAGTGACAGTTTAATTTCTCACTATTTCCATAGATGATATCTAAATAAAAACATTTTCATCATATGGCATAATATATGACCAAAGTTTTTATGCTTTATGTTGAAAGTACAGTATTTTTCGTTTATTAATTTTTCTTGAAGCTATTTATGCATAGTAAAATACTCTGATTTTAAAGTTTAGGAGTTTTCTGCATTAAGTAGTAAGGTTTACCGTTATCCATGGCTTTATTGATTGTTCTTGTAATTCGGTAACAATTTAAAACTGGATTCATCGCTTATTAGATTCATATATATGTGACAAACTATTGTCTAATATAGTATATTCAGTATTTGAGTAGCAGTAAAATCCAAAATAGAGAGTTTCAGCGTTTTTTAACGAGTTAGTTTTCTACGGAATGGGGTCGCTAGCCCTGTGCCTAACCCGCCTTCTTTATCAGGGCTTGGAACCGGCAGTAGCTCCAGAGGGGCTCCAGGCGCAGTTCAGAACAGAGAGTGGTCATCTGCGATGCTAAATATCAGCAAAGAGAAATTACAAATCCTTACTAATACACAACTGTATTTGATAATTAGTTATCTTACTTCAAAAACGTTTTTGAATCATTGATTAGTTATTTTATCTCGCATACTTTATGATTTAAGATGAAAACCAGTAAAAAATTGGTGATAAGTAATTAACCAGCTGGTGTTACTTGTTCTGAACTCTTGTTAAAGTAACATTTGCTTTAATTCAGTATATTTTCAAAATAGTTTTATCAATAGACGCCATCAACTGTAAACTTGGTCACTATGGTTATTGATGATTATTGGTAAACACTTCAATAATTCAATTAGAAAAATGCTAATTCACACAAATGGTCGAAACGTAATGTATATGGAATTTTTCTGTCAATTCAATCTTTATCACTTTTTATTTATCTAGTTCTTGGAGGTTTGTTAATTTATTCCATCCAAAAAATATCTTAAAATTTATAATAAATCTTTTATAGACTTTTAGCTTAACTCTAATAGTCATGTGATTATGAATTATATTTCACTAACTGGGTAATTAAAAACACATCGGTGTAAATGACATGGTTTTATGTAACACGGTTACAAGCTTTTTGTGATATAGATGGTAGAATATTAGAATTGTTCAGTTCACAAAACTTCATTCCATTTATATGCTTAGTATTTATGTGTTCATCTAGCAAACTAATCGGTGAGCATTAGAATTACCATTAGAATATAAACCGGCCAATGAAAATCGAATTACCTGACTTTGCAACGGTCTTATTGGGGAAAAAAAGTATGATAAATTATTTGTGAATTATACTTTTTGGCTTTGGATATTCTGCATGTTTCTAACTCATTGAAATAAAATTAGAATTCACTTAAACTATAGAATTCAAATTTTTATTTTCATATTTTTAAATAGCTTACCAACGTTTCGCTTAATTAAAAACATTTTATTGTTGTTTTTAGACAAGTTATCGGAGAAAAAGTATTATCCACCCGATGGGAGCATGTTTTATTGGGTATCGTGCCCGCACTACATACTTGAAATATCAATCTACTTATCATGTCAGTTATTTATTACACCTAAATGGATACCATTTTCGCATATATTATTTTTCACAATATGCAATCAATTATGCTGTATATGGCTAAATCATAATTGGTATAAAAATAATTTCCCTGAGTGGGCATCTAAACGTGCTATGCTGATTCCTTATGTATGGTGAATATAAAAATGTATGTTCACTTCTCTCTCCTAAACATAAACATCTTGATGTAAAATATTTTTTAGTGTTAGACTATTCATTTTATTCAACTGACTACGCATTATCTAATATTTTTTATGTGATTGTTTTCCTAAGATGCTCCGTTTTGTGATATTTTTCTTTTCTATTCGAAAAGTTATTGTAATGTAAGTACATTCTTCCTTAAGAGCTGTTTTGAATTAAGGAGAACCTATCAAAAGAAAAGCTATTAATTATTGAGTATTCGTATTTTAGAGATCACAGAGATAATTTCGTCAGACACTCACTAATGTGCTTCGTGGCAATACATCAATGCTATGGCTAATATCGTGTTATTAATCGGCACTGTGTATATTTCAAAACGTCTCCGAATAGTACACCAAACCAATGTGGTGCATCAACGCCACGTAAAACCTGTAAGCTATAGCAGTATAAAACTATATTTCAAGAGTGTCAAAGATCACTTGTAGTTACTAAACTGTAGGTGCTTTCCAGAAATGCATTTTAATCTTAGTAGTGAGCAATATAAGCATAAGTTGTTATGCAGTAAAGTGATTAGAATGTTTGGGGTTCATGAAAAAACCAGTTTTCTTAGTTTAAGAACCCGACATCTTTTAATAGATTTATCTAAGAAATATTATACCCCCTCAATCATGCTGCTTAGACACATTTCGTACTAAATATCCGATTGCCTAGGCACTCAATAGTTGTGATCCGTAGGTAGTCTTCGTTTTCTACATTTCTGGGTATTTAGACCTGGCACATGGTTTGTTTATTTAAAGTCAAACTCGCAGCAGCATCACAATGGCAGTCCATAGTGCATGAACTGCTCTGCAATTCTGTGTAAGTCTGCTCCGTTTTCTGTTAAGTAATTCCATCAAGACAACAGTTTCAGTGACACTTGATGGTCACGGTAAGTTATACCATAATCAGGCATTTATGATAAGCATGGGATTTGATTCTGTAATGTTATAGCCCCATCAGTTGGAACTTATGACTTCACAGTCATATGTTTTGTAGTCACAGTTGCCTGTGTTTTGAGGAACAACGTTATACTCTATTCCCTAGCTTTCGTCATAAGTTTTGAAATAATAAGTGAAGAGACGAAATCCTCACCGAAGACAGGTACTGACTGGTAATTTCAAAGAATATATATAAGGTGAAAGGATTAAGTTGAAGCAATAAGATTTGAAATTTAAAAGGTTGTAATACATGTATAGACTGTCTAAATCATGCACTCACTAATTGTTAGCCCCCGATTGGCTATATCCGTTTGAGGATTATGGCACGACTCGACATAAAACACCTATCCTTTATGGCTACCTTGCGATTTTCATACTCCTATACTTCTACATAGAGTCAAGTAGGATTTTCTCGTGACCATCATTGTCTTCGTCCTTGTTTGTGTTTGAGTCGATCCGTTGGAAGTTTCTTGAGTGGCCATTTTGCCCGATTTTGTCCTGTCAAGTTTGTATTCGTTTTTTTCTCTTTTTGGACTTGATTTCGTAAGGCCTGGAAAACTTCGAGTTTAACATCCTTATCAATCACCAATGCAGAAGATGAGGGCTACTCAAGTTGTACGGGAATAGTGCGGGTTAGCTGACATCAAGGTCATACCTCACAATACCTAGGGTGCACTACTGTTTCCTTGTATATAGGTACCGTGGCTACTTTGATGATTATATATAGACGTTACTACAGAAGTGTATTAGTAAGGATAGGAGGAATAGAGTGCGACCACCAGCATATCGGCGAGTCAGTGGCGTGCAAACTGATCCGAGCTGGTTGACGAGATTTGCTTGATCGTTCAACACAAGCCATGCCTGTTGGGTGACTAGACTGTGGCTCAGTGACATTTTGCTATCCCTCAGAGACAATCGAGCGTTTTATAACTCCCTTGCTAGCTCTGAACGATTTAATATTATCCACACAACGTATCTCAGACATCAGTACCTTATTTATGGCCATAATTTGAACTTATGTGCTTAGTTGGGAAAATCTATTTGAAGGAAAGCTGTTACCTTATACTTGAGTAACATCTATTCGAATGATTGTGGACAGAATAAAAGGAGCGTTCACTTAACGGACTTCCATATCTAGTGGGAGTAGATCATCAGGTAGGAACCTAGGTATTTATGTAACCTTTTCGAGTTTCATTGTTTTATGATGGAACAGAGGTTTCTGCAAACTCACTACTGGAGATTAGCCAAATACATCTATGAAAAAAAACATTGGTAGATACCCTCAGTATAGCAGATTTAGCAAGTGAACAGGTTTTAAAAATATGTCTTCATCTGCTTCAGCGAGTCTTTAAACGACTACTGGACAAAAATCGAACTTTTACAGCACTAATCGTCTGTTGACATTTGGATTTAACGATTGACCGACCATGTAATACGGTCTACCATGGATAAATGAATGAAGGAGATTCGTGTAGACACTGTTGACCAAGACATGATTCACTTTAATTTGTATCTTCATTAGTTACACAATTACTACGACCTACTTACCATTTCCTTCGTATATTTTGTACGAACATGCTTCCAGTGGTGTCATTTTGTGGTTTCCAAGTCCTAGATGACTTTCTCTTCGTTCAGATATTTTGCTTCCCTGTGATCACCTCAGTCATACTGCTATTCAGTGAAGATGTTGGTAAGGCTATTAAAATTTTGGGTCCTTCAAGCAATTTTAGAATATTTTGGATGCGGTTTTCTTATTCAACTTCAGCAAACCATTACGGAACAATAGTTGTGATTTTTTAACACTTGAGTCCGATTGTTGTATAAACTGGACTTTTTATATCTCCGCATCTTTCTCACACAAGCTGTCTGTAGTTCCAAGCTTGCTCTTCAAGTCCCATTTTGCTAGTGATTTGCAGATGGTGTATCCATCCACTACCATAATAATGTTCAGCATTTGAACTTTAATGAGTACATGATAAATTCCTGAAGCGTAGTTTATCTTCTAAACCATAGCATGTTGTATATTTACGTAGCAGTAATAACGAACCGATGCCTTTATCCAGTACTCAGTAAATTGTCAAGTAAACAACTACCTGGAAGAAGTCTGTAACTTGCACTTACTATGCTTGTGGCAAAATGGGATAGAGTCTAGGTATATGACAGTATTAATTTGCGTATGTTTTTGGTAACCTATGTGAAGCATTTACAAGTTTGCAATAATCAGGTCAGTAGTTCCAGTGTACATTCAACAAATTGGTCATAGAAGGCACAATATTTCCACACAAGGCTACATGGATCACACTACAGAGAACCAGATAAATCATATTTTCATCAACAAAAAATTCCGAAGGACAATGGAAGATGTGAGAACCAGGAGAGGTGCTGATGTAGCTTCAGATCACCATCTAATTGTAGCCAATTTAAAACTGAAGCTAAAAAAGAACTGGACAAACAGCAATACAAATGTTCAATACAGCCTTCCTTCGAGATACTGACAGACTCAATGAATTCAAGATAGCTCTCAACAACAGGTTGCAAGCCTTTCAAGGTCTACTGAAGGAAGAAGAAACTACCATGGAGGACAACTGGAAAGGCACCAAAGAAACATTGACTTCAACGTTTCAAGAGGTTCTGGGCCTAAGGAAACACCATCATAAGGAGTGGATCTCTATAGAAACTCTGGACAAGATCAAAGAAAGGAAGAACAAGAAGGTAGCAATTAACAACAGCCGAACACGGGCAGAGAAAGTCAAAGCACAAGCTGAATACACAGAAGCAAACAAGCAAGTGAAGAGGAGCATTAGAACCGACAAGAAGAAGTACGTGGAAGAACTAGCAACGACGGCGGAAAAAGCTGCTAGAGAAGGAAATATGAAAAAACTTTACGATACAACGAAGAAACTGTCAGGGAAATACAGTAAACCAGAGAGACCGGTCAAAAGCAAAGAAGGCAAGCCAATCACTGAAATTCAAGAACAGCGGAACAGATGGGTAGAATACTTCGAGGAACTCCTGAATAGGCCGGCTCCAATGAATCCACCGGACATCGAAGCGGCACACACAGATCTTCCCATAGACGTCAACCCACCAACGACGGAAGAAATTAGAATGGCCGTCAGACAAATCTAGAACGGGAAAGCAGCGGGACCCGACAACATACCAACTGAAGCACTGAAGTCAGACATCGAAGCAACTACAAACATGTTTTACCTTCTATTCAAAAAGATTTGGGAGGAGGAACAAGTGCCGATGGACTGGAAAGAAGGACACCTCGTCAAGATTCCAAAGAAAGAAGATCTGAGCAAATGTGAAAACTACAGAGGCATTACACTACTGTCAATACCAGGGAAGGTCTTCAACAGAGTGTTGTTGAGCCGGATGAAAGACTCAGTAGACGCCCTACTTCGAGATCAACAAGCTGGATTCCGTAAGGATCGATCGTGCACAGACCAAATTGCAACACTACGGATCATCGTCGAACAATCAGTTGAGTGGAACTCGTCACTATACATCAACTTCATTGATTATGAAAAGGCATTTGACAGTGTGGATAGGAGGACGTTATGGAAACTTCTTCGACACTACGGAATTCCTGAGAAGATTGTCAATATAATCCGGAACTCATACGACGGACTACAGTGCAAAGTCGTGCATGGAGGACAGCTGACTGATGCATTCCAAGTAAGGACTGGAGTCAGACAAGGCTGTTTACTCTCTCCCTTCCTCTTTCTTCTGGTGGTCGACTGGATTATGAAGACCTCGGCATCTGAAAGAAAACACGGAATACAATGGACAGCTCAGAATCAATTAGACGACTTGGACTTCGCAGATGACCTAGCCATCCTATCGCATACACATGAAGAAAGGCAGATAAAAACAACCAGTGTATCAGCAGTCTCTGCATCAGTAGGCATTAACATACACAAAGGGAAAACTAAGGTCCTCAAATTCAAAGAGGAGAACAGCAATCCAATCACCCTTGATGGCGAAACTCTGGAAGATGTGGAATCCTTCACATGCCTGGGAAGCATCATCGATGAACAAAGAGGCTCAGATGCAGACGTAAAGCCAAGGATTGGCAAAGCAAGGACAGCATTCCTACAATTGAAGAACATATGGAACTCAAAAAAACTTTCAACCAATATCAAAGTGAGAATCTTCAATACGAACGTCAAGGCAGTTCTACTGTATGGAGCTGAAACTTGGAGAACTACAACAACCACTATCAAGAAAGTACAAGTATTTATAAATAGCTGCCTTCGCAAGATACTCAACATCCAT